CATTGTTGAAGGTAACTATTAATAATGTGAGCCATAAAGTCAAAACGGACCTTTCTTATGTATAATAAGCTTTTCTAATAAAAGTACAAAATGATGCTTGGCATATGGTATCCCATTTGCCAAGACTGACCCCAGGTCTAGGAGTGTTCTTAACACCAATTTTGAAAGTATGTAAATATTTTATCATTTGATTTTTAAATGTTTCTCAATCACCCAATGGTGTATTTCTAGACATGAAACTCAGAATCAGTGGAGACTAGATTTCTGGCTCCCTAATAAATATAAAAAAATTAAAGTGCCATTTAAAATTATTGTTAAGTACCATAACATATTTTTACCTATGCTTTTTTAATGACCATTAGTGATAGTTTGGGTAAATATGAATACTGCTTAATAATACATGAAACGCTTTCATTGCCTAAGTTTGTGGCATATATGATAACTAAATATAATTAAATAATTAAGAGTTCTTTCAATTCTCTTGACTAAACCCTGACATAACTATTAGGCCAATCCCATAATTCCTTTGGCTTCAGAGTCTTAGGAGAATGTGACAAGAATGTGTCTCTCGACATTTGGCTTCTCCCAAGAGAGCTTACGTAACTCCGCTGGTTCTCTGTTGGCCAAAAGATATAATTTTAATTGGCTTATAGTAGTACTAAGGCTCCACAAATGTTAAATGGACTATTGTTTTAGGATTTGGTTGGATATAAACCTCGATGAGAAAAATGAAACATTATTTTCACCAATTCTGGCTATTATTCATTTAAGTTTAACTTTTCTTCTTCTGCAACTAAGCAACCTTCCCATTATCCAGGCACCTGGCAGAGCTACTGTTGTTAAATTTTTGACAGCTTTTTCATTACGGGTCCTGCGTTTTGAGAGGCAGGTTAACTAAGCGGTTTTGATTTGTGCTGAGCTGAGATGTGGAATAGACACTTGAAGTCCATTCTCTTGTTTTCATAAGATTTCATTTGCACTTATTTGTCCTCCTTGAGCTAAACACAGGAAGAATAAAAAAACAAACCCTAAAATACATCCAGTCTCTCATTCACAAATTGGTATAACTGAGCAAAAGAATAGTAGATACTGTAGTTTCTTTTGTTTAAATTCAAGGTCTAAAAAATGTTTCAAAATCCATACCACAAATTTATTACCTTATTGATAAAAGTATGAACACCCATTTGCTTTACATATATGAGAAAATAGTGAGGCCTTTTTACTTTATAAAACATGGCAAAATTAACATTTGCATTCGCTGTAAGTGTGAGGTATGTACTCACTGTAAAACAATAACTCTCCCACTCTAAAAAAGAGCTTACATTTACTATAGAAAAATGACAAAATACAGATAAAAAAGAAATATTTAAAATCAACCTACCAGATAAGATTGCATGGAATTTCTATCTTTTTCTATGTCTAGTCGCTCATTCTTCCTTGCAGTTTTGGAAGCTTCTGGAAAGCATTTCATGATGACCACCTCACCCCTTCCACAGAGAGGTACCACACGGTAGTCACTTATACCTGAGTTTTCATATTCTTCCCACCCTCTGCATATACAACTCCACGTGACCTGGCATTCACTCCATTACTTCACTAAAATCTATCCAGTAAGTTTCCAGGAAGCCTCTCCATCATGCAAGTACCACTTTGTCTATCCTTCTCATTCTTGATGTATGCTGGAATTTGTTTTGTACTTGAAAGTCTTCTCCTAACTTGGATTCTATGATGCTCCCTAACTTTGTTCCTTTTTTTTACATTTGCAATGAGCCGGTCTCTTGCCTTCACTTGCACTTGTTCTTTCTTTGGTTTGCTATATGTACTGCTTTCACTGGTAAGCAGCAGAATAACCATCTGACAGTGGCATAAATTATAGGACACTTTATGGAATATTTAACAAGAAGACTAGAGGTTGGTGGTCCCAGGGCTGGCTTGATGACTCAAATAGGAAATGAAGAAGCTACATACTTATGTTCCATCCTCATGTTCTGTCATTCTTTCGTTAGTGATCTCTCGTCTGCTAGCTGGTCAAGAGATGCCCAGATACAGTAGCTGTAAGAAGGCAGAAGGCTGAGGCTCAAAGACCTTTCTGCACCTAGAGTAGTTGCCTTCAATAAAGAAAAGTATTTTTCTTAGAAATCTTCCTTTTACATCTTATTGGCTAGACGGGCCTTATGCCCACCCCCATACTGTTTAAAGGACAGAGAAAAGGAATGCCACAACTGCTCTAGACCAATGGTGTTTCACCCCTGGTGTTGGCGAAGTGCTCCCCAAACACAATGAGTCTTAGGGTAATGCGGCAGAGGAGCTAGTGGTCATGAAGTAGGCAATGGCCACAGCAGCTCTGCTTCACCCTCCGCTCCGCTGCCCCTGAAGACTCAGTCTTTTTCTATGACTCACAGTCTCTGAGGTTCCATTCATCTTCTGCCCAGAAGAGGTTGTTGTGAGAAACAGCTGGAATGTGAAAGTTCTGTATAAACAAGAGTCTTTATTGCCCTAGTAAACATACTCTATTTTCCCAGTGAAACTTACGATTTAAAATGAGGGTTTTTTTTTTTATAATTTCTGGGTGGTGTGTGCGTATTGAAGCAATGCCCAACCCATGCTGATCCTTTCTGCTAAATTGGTCTTCACCTTCTTTCCTTTCACTCTCCTCTTAGTCTGGTCTCGATCACCTAAAACCTCTCCCATGGTGGCCAGGTTCTGTGTGCTTCTCCTATTTACCTCTCTTGCATCTATTTGCTTGTCTCTTCTGGTTTGATGTTCTTCCATGTTCTAACTTTTATCCTATTGCATACAATATAAACATCACTCCTGAGATCCAACTCCTTTAATGACCTTTCTTCCTATCTACACCAAATGCCAGCTTCTCCTTAATGCGAGCCCCATTTTTTCTAGTCAGGCCTCTTCCATGAACTTCCATGACATTCAGTGCTCATTCCAATACCTCATGTAGGGTCCATTAGCCGGAATGTGTCATTGTGCTTTTTCAAACAGTGCTGCATTTTCCAACAAATGGACTAGGAAGGGGTTAAGAGCACCAGTAAAGCAAGTTACTTAGAGTTGACACTCCTACCCTAAGTCATTTCCCCCCTTCCCACGGGAGTATACTAATCCATTTATGCTTAGTTATGAGTTTTTCCATACACTAGTCTTGCCACAAATGCTAAGGTCATTTTATAAGTGTAGGAACTATGCAATAACCTAGTGCTGTCTATGTGCACTGAAAAATCATTAAATACTTAATGATTGATTGATTTTTAAATAATTTACACCACATACACTATGGTTTTACTCAGTCTTCCTCCACTTTGAATGTTCTTTTTATTGCATTATCTGCTACTTACTGCTAGGGGCAGGGTAAATTATGAGTCCCAGCATGGAAGGATAGGATAAGTTATGTGTGTACGTAACCACTTCCTCTGGGTTGCATAATGCTGATCACCTGGCTGTGATAGAAACTGAAGATTGGCAGAGTTGTGTCCAATATCATAGAAATGAGTGGCTACAGCAATCCTAACCCCACCAATCTTATGCTTTGTCTATAGAGACACCAGAATATATTTTGTTATCTTGATTTCAGGCTTCAAGGAAAATAAGTTTAGAAACTTAAGGTCTGCCGGTTAGCACAATTATAATGAAGGGTTCTGCTAAAATTTTAAGAGAATAAAATATGTAATATGACTGTTGTTTTCTGAAAGACATGTTTAGCTATGGGCTTGTGAAGACGAATAAGTCCCTCTGTAAATAAGACAACATTTTTAAAGCATTTCTATAGCTTAAATGAGGTTGGATCTTAAAATGGGGTCTTTTTGGAGGAGAAACTTATTAAAGAGATGAAGGGAGGAATCTAATATGGGATGATGACGATGATGACTGTAATGGTGAAAAAAAAAGGGAATGACTTAAATTTCATGAGTCACTCTGACCACACTCAACAGCCATCATCAGAAACATATCCTCATGTGTGGCTTTATAAATAAGCTTCGTAAAGCTGGACATTACCCTATAGCAATTTCTGAATAATATGTGGTCTAATATCTATTATACATGTGATTACACAAGTTAGTAACCATTTTTTTTTTTTGGTCTTGAGTTTATTTACCTTAGTAGTTGCACTTTGGGATTTTGGGTCTTAACATGAAGAATTCAGTGTTCATTAACATAAGAAAGTCAATGGAAATTAGCCCTCTCTGAGTCTTCCCTTTTATCCCATTTCACAGAACTTGAGTGCATGACAGGAAGAAGGTGAATTGATTTTCCACTTGAGAATTCTGCTAACCTGGAAAACAACGTTAAGTCTAGTAGGTGAGACAGTTTAGGGAGATGGGAGAGAGAGCTCACTCCTTGTCCCAATATCTCCCTGCATGCAACCGGCTGACCTCTGCTCTCTGCTCTCTGCTGCTTCTGTGTTCTGGTTGGTCTTCCAAACTTCCCAGTTCCTCTACACACGAGAAACCTAACCGTGATGATTTATGATCACAGTTATGGAATACTCGAAATGAAAATGGGTCCAGAAACCCAAATTGAAAACAGGTCTCTAACGTGAGCACCAACTTCTGTCCTTAGAAAATAAAAACGAACAAAGAAAAACAGAAATTAGACAATTAATTAGAGTGGGGATCGTGCTTTGCTATTGAGGGGTTCCCCTAGGTGTTTATCTCTACACTGGCTTTGTGTTTCAGTAGGTCATGCATGTATTAAGAGCAACAATTGAAATTGCAGTCCTTTACGCCCATAAAAATATAGTTTAAGAACATGAATTAATGACTTAAAATACTGTGTTTCTAAGTTGATTACTTATGTCATTAAAGGTAGCGTTCTGAGACCAGTATGAAGGATGTGATGGGAATGGGAAAACAGGAATGTTTCCCCCCTTTTTTCCCTTCTACCAAGTAGAGCGAGATCCAGTCCAGGTTTTCCCTTCGACTCTGACTCTGAATTTCGGCCGTGCACGGAGTAGCACATTTCTCCCTCTCTCTCTCTCTCTGTCCCCTCCTTTCTCCTTCCCTCTAGCCTCCAGGATTTCTCTCTTCCTATTTCAGCAGGACTCTCACAGGCTCTCTCAGCCTGTGTGAAGCTGAGGTTTCCTCTGGAACCCGTATACCCCCAACACATACCTCCACGCAGACACATCCCCGAGAACCCCACGCTCGCACCGAGACACACGCGCACACACAGTCGCGCTCGCCTGTCCACCTCCCTCCCGGGAGAGCCGGCGCGCGTTCCCACCTTCGCTGCACACTCCAGCTAGCTGAGCTCGCAGCGCTCTAGGATTCTGCGGCTCGGAACTCGGAGGATCGCAGCTCTGAACCTTCATGGTGGTTTTTGAAACATTGCCTTCTCTCTTTCGTTTTTATTGCACCGTTTTCGACCTGGGGGGCTAGAGGAGCAAGGCGGCTGTTTTCCCAGCCAGCCCTGGTTGGCTTGCCATCCTCCATCTGGCTTATAAAAGTTTGCTGAGCGCAGTCCAGAGGGCTGCGCTGCTCGTCCCCTCGACTGGCGGAAGGGGGTGACGCTGGGCAGCAGCGAGAAGCGCGCCGCTGGCTCTGGCGGGCTTTCGGCTTGAGGGGCAAGGTGAAGAGCGCACGGGCCGTGGGGTTTACCGAGCTGGATTTGCATGTTGCACTATGCCTTCTTGGATCGGGGCTGTGATTCTTCCCCTCTCCGGGCTGCTGCTGTCTCTCCCGGCCGGGGCGGATGTGAAGGCTCGGAGCTGCGGCGAGGTCCGCCAGGCTTATGGTGCCAAAGGATTCAGCCTGGCGGACATCCCCTACCAGGAGATCGCAGGTAAGCGCGGGTCCGCGGCCCCGGCTGGCTGCAGCCCTCTTCGGCCACACATGCCACGGGCCGCCTGGTGTTCTCCTCCTTACCCTCTTGCTGAGTTGTTGGTGTTCACTTTCTGTCGGGGCTCCCTGCACGCAGCACCACTACACCGGGCGGCGGATGCTCCATCGGCTGTTCCCGCGGGGGGGGGGGGGGAAGGTGTGCGTCTCAGCAGCCTCATTGTGTGGACACGCGGGAGCGCCCTCCATCCCCTCCCTCCCTTTCTCCGCTCTCGCGCCCTCGCGCCCCCTTGCTTGTTGGCTCCCTCTGGGCGGGCCGGGGAGCCCAGGACACTCGGGGGTGGCCCCCGAGCTGGGGCAATTCGCAGAGCAGGGCGCCCACCCCACTCCTCTAGCTCGGGCAAACTTGGAAAAACTGCGGCGCAGTTTGCCCAGCGCCACAGTCTGAGTGGCGCCTTCTCCACTCCCGCCCTCGCGCCAACGGGGGCGGTGGAGAGACACTGAGAGCTCCCCTGCCTCTCGCTCCACACTCTCTGCGGTACAGAGAGGCACAGTGCGCAGTGCTCCGGCTAGGGGCGAGCAAGGCTGCGGGGGCCCCACCGGAGGAGTCGGCCTCCAGACTTCCGCAGTTCCCGGCTAGTTTGGAGAGTTCAAGGGCTGTCTGTTTCTGATTTGGGGCGTGCTTCCCTGGTTGCTTTCCGTCTTTTGAGGTTGGAGGGGAACCCCAGCCACCCGATGCAGCGCCGGTTCCTGAACGCGGCCTCGTAGGCAGCCTCTTGGAAGCTGAGCCAATTTACCCGTGTGGCTCAGAAGTGGATTGGCCTCGGTGTCCCCTGCGTCCCCGGCCGCTAGCATTACTCTATCGAGAGCTGAGAGCCCCCACCCGCTTTCAGGGCACCAGTGTGGGGGTAGCACTCGGTCTCCAACAACTTGCGCAGCAGCCTGGGTGCGTGTTTTCCAGTTCTTACCTCCAACCCAGTCCGAGCTTCTCTGGGGCTCTGTGAATGAAATGTGTCGGGGAGAGATAATCCTGGAGCTGTGAAAGAACTGAACTGAGAGAGGCACAAGGCCGCCAGGAGATGCTGCGAGGGCGCGGGCTGCTCAAACTGGAGGCTGAAGTCCTCAGTGACCTCAGATGGCCCAGTCGAAAGGCTGAATTTCCACCAGGCTTTCTGCATTTTGCCAAAGAACCGGTCGATGGATGACAAGCATTTTGCAGATATCTTTACACATAACAGTTTCGATACATTGTGGAATTGCTATTTTATTACGGGTGATCTACCAACTCCACAAGTGAGGGTTTTTACTTATGCGGAAATAACACGTTTATATGAATTTGGGCATTAAAAATAGCCCATACATCACGCTAGCAGAGAGGATTATACACAGAGAGCGTTTTCCACTTCTGAGCCAGACACAGCCAGCCTCTCGTGTGTCCAAGGCAGAACCTGTGTCGCATTAGAAGGCTACTTTTCTACCCTTGTCCAGGACTCCTTAATTTGCTAATCAGTGAATAGAGACCCGCTGCCCCTACAGCGCCTTAAGTTTCTCAACTCCCCTTTCCCCTTTTGTCTACTGTTATTTCATTCTTTTTAATTAATTGATAAGGATCAGTTTTGCTTTTTTTTTTTTTAACCCTCCCCAAATCTCAGGAAATTCAACTTTTAAAAGGTTTGTAGTATGGATGACTTCTTTTAGGAACTTTTTTCTCCCTTCATCTGGGTTTTTTTCAATCTGTATCTTTTAAACAGGTATTTCCCCCAACATGATTTTAGATAAGATATGTAAAAAACTGCTGGGTATTTTTTAAACTTGTTTCAGTCTTCTTTAGTGGATAATGGGGCTTTCTGGAGACTACTATTCATGCTTAGCATGATGCCCACCTCCTTAACATAAGGTGAAGATTTTCAGTGTAAATACTTTCTGTCTGTGGTCATCATTTACTTTCTTGAGAAATATGTAGAGGTCACACTAAATCCTTCAGTATACTTTTAACTATAGATTTTGTTTTTAGCTACAAGGTTTCCTCTTGACAATTACAGTGATTAGTAATAGCTATGGATTTCTAAAATGTGTGTGCTTTTTAAAACTCACTTTCTAGGACTAAGAGTACTATTGACTTGAAATCATCAAGGTACAGGTCACTTTGGAGTCAGAAGCACATCTGGTAGGAAAAGAAATGAATTCTGAGGTAATTGTATATTAAGGATATACATTTATTTTTCAAAATAAACTTTACTCGGTGTTACTGCTGTTGAACTTATCACTTAGGAAATATGTCCCTTTATTAAATGAACACACTCTTCCTCCCCTCCCTCGTTCCTGATACATTTTACAATAATTAACTAGTATGTGGCGGTTATCCTTTCTTCAGACTTCTTTTCATCTTGTGCCTTGTTTGGACTTTTAATGGTTCGCTTGAGAAATGGCATATGCCGTTTGTCTGCCGGGGAACATGAATTTAAAGGAACTGCTGTTCAGAATTTGGATTCCTGAAATCTGTTTCTCATTGAAGGACATTTGCAGGTAGCTTGCCTGGTAAAAACAGAAGAGTAATAAGGACATTATGTTTCGTCAGAACATTAGTAAAGTTTTACTCAGAACTCACGATTGGGAAACAGTGTTGCCCTTTTCTGTTCTAAGATAAAAAGGGAGTTCTTCAAACTCCAAAGATGAGGGACTGTGGTGGGTAATACATAAAGTTATACTCTCAGAGAGTGCCTGGGAAGGAGGAGGCTGTCAAGGGGCAGTTTGCACCATTAATCTTCACTCAGCCTTGATTTTAAAGCATTCCAGGCAGTTCGCATACACTACCTGTCCTTGTTTGAAAGACCTCCCAAAGGGGCAGGCTCTCGGGCCCCTCTCAGCAATCCATTCTAATACTTAGTCATTCTTGTGGCATCAGAATGTTTCCAGGTATCTTGCCGAAAACCTTCACAGTGTGCTTGCTTATCTTCTCTCATTCTGTCTTCTGGGAAGCTACTGAGCAGGTGACCATCAAGGTCTTTGTGGGGACTGTTAACTCTGATCAAAGGTCAGTGTGAAACACCCCCGTCTTCCTTTGAGCATCAGTAATATTATCTTCTTTCCAACCAGACTCATCTGGATGGCTCTGAACTTCTAATGGAACTCCAGAGCTGGAAAGAACGTCCACTGAAAAGTCCGGGCAATTCAGGAAATGTTGTTTGAGGGTTGCTGTGCTACTCACATACTTCGAGCCTTCTTGCAGTCATTTATTGCATTACTTTGTAGTGGACTAATGGTGACTTACAATTTATTCATGCAACTTTATTTAACAGTCTATCACATAGAAATTACTCTGTACCTAGCACTTCATTGAAAACATTACCTAGTTTTAAAACATTGCCTTATCGACTCCTTTTAATAACTCAGTAGATCCTATCATTATCCTCATTTTATAGATGAAGAGATTGAGCAACAGGTGACTTGAACAATTAACTTGCCCACAGTTGACTCTGTGAGAAAGTGAGGGGGCTGGAATTCAAAACCAGGCACTTGGGTCCGTGGACTTAACCATGGCCACCTCCACTCTGTATTTATTGAATGACAGCATGGTAAAATCAGTTTTTTCCCCATCGGATACTGTCTATAGCTTGGTATTACAATCACCATATGTATGTCCTTACAGTTTGTGCTGAATATTTTCTATTCATGTGCCATATCTTGTAGGGACTCCAGCCTGAGTCCCGCAGGCTGTGTGCAGCCCAGGATGGCTATGAATGCTGCCTAATGCATCATTGTACATTTATTTCAAGCATTATGACACTTTTTGTGTGATTATGTGTCACAATGTATTTACCATGTGGCCCAAGACAACTCTTCTTCCAGTGTGGCCCAGAGATGCCAAAAGTTTGGGTGCCCCTGACAGTTTTCCAAATCACTTTGACTTTGGACTTTATGTTCTCAGGAACTGACCACACTACTAAAACTAAGTTGTCCATGTATTTATACATTTTCCCTGTCATTTTAGTTGTGTAGATGTGAATATATGAAAGGTGGAAATGAAAGAACTTGCACTGATTTTTTTTTAGTATAATGACCTTACTGGGACATTGGGTTAGTCCAACAAAGCTTACTACAGGAAGCTATCACCCAGGTGGAGGGAGGAGGGAAGTTTCGGTCCACAGGTTAGGGGGAGAAACAATAAATAACTGTTTTCAGTACTCACTCTGCCCCCTCTGCTGGCTCAGATATTTTGAGAATTGGAGGACTACAGCTGCATGTGGAGAAAGCATCAAACAGAAACAAACAGACTCATAAACACAGGGAACAAACAGACTGAGGGAGGCTGCAGGGGAAGGTTTGGGCAACTGGTGGAGAAGGTGAAGGGGTTGAGAAGTACAGGCTGATAGTTACAAAATACTCACGGGGATGTAAAGCACAGCATAGGGGTGCAGGCCGTAATACTGTAGTAAGTATGTGTGGTGCCAGGTGGATACTGGAAATAACAGGGGGACGCTTTGCGAAGGATGTGTCTGTCTAACTGCTACGCTGCACTGCTGAACTAAACAAGATATTCCTGACCGTTGTGGCTCATTTGGTTGAGCATCATCCTGCAAACCAAAAGGCTGATGACCAGTTCAGTTCCTGGTCAGGGCACTTGCCTGGGTGTCCACCTGGTCCCCAGTTGGGGTGGCAACAGATGTGTCTCTCCCTCTCTCTCTCCATCCCTTCCCCTCTCTCTAATATAAATAAAGTCTTAAAAAAATAAGAACAAAATAATATTGAATGTAAACTGTAACTGGAAAAACATTTTTTTTAAACGGAAGAAAGAATTAAACTCTTACCTATCTTTTTGATATCAGTGGATCTCAAAAATCTGAAAAGCTATGGGAAAGTTTAAAAGCAAATAATACAGAACGTGCTGGTATACCCCAAACTTTCTTAGTCCTTCTTTAGTGGTTCCAAATCGGAGCCTATGAAACGCTTCAGTGTACCTGGCCTTTGTCCGGTAGTGCTCTTCCTTCTTTGGTGGGTTTCCTG